TGGCTACATAGTTCGAACTATCTAGCCCGTGCCGCGTGTAGCCGCGCGGCACGGGGTTCGAACTAGCCGGCTTTTAAAAATGGCGGCGCCGGCTTTATGCTAATGAAGCCCGGGAAATTCAAATCCCGGGCTTCATTAGCAAGTTCGGTATGCATACATTACCCCGCTAGTTCGAACTAGGGGGGTAGTGTAGACATACCCTTATCTAGTTGGCACTTTGCCCCACCCAGTATAAAAGGTAACACAGAAGTATAATTTGACTTACACAATTATTGATTAATTTGCCATTAATACCATGTAAGCCTGGTAATACCAAACAGGCACTTTAAATATATGGAGAGCTACTGTAGAATTTAAATATTTTCTGCACACCTGTTTCAGCCAATAAAAAATTAATTCTGAAACACTTCTAAGTTGTTTCGTGGGTGAGTAGGGGTGGTACTTAATAGTACATCTGCACTGCTGCATCTTTTAAAGGTGCTCTTAAATAAGCCACCAACTGCCTTACTAATATTTATTTATTCTTACTTTCTGATCCGTGTAGTTATGTTGGTATCCAGGAGATCACAATGCTGTAATCTTTATTCCATCTTATTTAAATGTTTTCCTCCTGTTTCCAATCCCCATTATATAGCAAGATTCGTAAAAATTCACTGCAGTTTTATGGTTTTGTTAATGTGACTTAGATGGTGGCACTTATGTGGCTTGTAGCTACCTTAACTGAGCTCATATTCTAGTTTGTTTAATTTGCACGTAATCAAAATTCTCACAAATACCAGTACCATATTTATCTGGACAGTTAAAGATTTTTTTTAAATGGTTTATAATATAGCCTTTGAATCTGTAGTATCAGAGATAAGCAGTGTTCTTTCTTTAAATTCCGTCTGATGTCTTTTTAAATTATTCATATAGTCCTGAGGGAATAGGCACTTATCTTATAGCAGGTAGAAGCTGATATTTTATACACTGACAGTTGTCTTGCAGCTAGTTTCTAACAGTGTGCAAAGCTCTAATATCATTCTACTACTTAATAATTCTGTTTCTTTCTTCAGTAACCTGTCATTCTGTGAATTTTGAAGTATTTGCACCACATAGCATGTGTGTCACTGCAAATTAGTGCAGGAAGAATGAAGGGAGACAAACTTACAGTCCATATAATAGAGCCCTGCTGCAAACACATTCGTTGACAAGCCATAAGTACTATATCTCGTGTTAACTCTACAGAAACTTCTAAATTAGCAAATTAATCCCTTCAGTAAATTGAATGAACAGAGCTATTTGAACACTGGAAAAGACACACAAATATATCACAAATGCTGGAGCTTCCGTTTGATTAATCTGTATCAGAATCCCCTTACTTTGTGTGGATTCACAAATCCTTTGACCTGGTCTTGCAATATTTGTATTTTGTGAATGCTGTTGAATGAACTCTGTTTAAAAGATGTATTTATTTTTTACAGTCTTTAAATAGGAAATGCTGTTAACCAATTATTAAAAAGCGAGACTTGAATTTTCTCAAGTTATATTGACATCTAGTGGCACAGATCAGATATTCTCATGATGGCTTGCCTTCAGTTACAAATGAAGAGCTATTTTTTAAAAAATTGTAAACACGTTCTAGTGTGCATAGTATTTATGGACAAATTATTCCTTATGTTGATTAGGTTTTAAAAGCATTGAATTGACCCCTCTTGCTGCAATATGTGTAAACCTCCTTTCAGCTGGGAAAGAATTGAAAGTGACTGGTCCAGTTCATATTACGTTGCCTCTTCTACCAACGAGTAGGGTAAAATCAGGAGATGCTATACCTGCATGGACGTTTGATATGAAAACTGGTATGTCTGCTATTTACTTTAGAATCCCACTTAATGCTGTGTATCATGCACTACAATATATGGTATTCATGTGATGTAAAGTATTTGAATATCAGTGCATGTATAGAATAATAGATAGCACTAAAACTTATCAGTTTTACTTTGCTTTATTTATTTAAGTAGGGTCATAGATATTTTATAGATTTTCCTGGTTATAAATGTTACATTGCATTTTTGTTTTTGTTTTTTTTAATGGCTCCCCCTGCTTTGAAGAAAGTCAGCCAAGAGCTAAATATATGTAAACGGGTTATATTAAACAGTTTTAAGGATTAAATAAATACCATAAATATTTGGGACAAGATAATGTTGTATCTGATAATTTCACAGACATTCAAAAGTTAAGAATTATTTGAATATATTGTGCTAGAAAGTCATACCCCTAAAGTTCACTTGAAATGGAATGTTAACACTGGGACTGACATAGCTTTAGTATTTAGTGTTTTATTACTGTTGTTATTATTTTATGATTATTGTACGCAGTTCAGAAAGTAAAATTTTATATAAAGTAGAAATAATAGAATTAAATATAGACTTTTCTTTTGCTTTAATCCAATATACAGATGTCTCCATGTCAAATATTTACAGTAACGACTAATTGAAATATACCAGTGGTCATGTTGACCATCTTAGATGCATCAGAGAAAGGCAATGACCTTCATAATGGAGCTCATCTTTCAATACTATAATGGCAGGGTGTCCTTACTCTAATTGGCAATCCAGTTTTGTGAAGTACAAACCTATGTAATTATATATCCCAGCTACCATAGTTGCAGATAATATTCTAATTCATATAGAGCTAATCCTTTTTCTGACTTATTGAAGTATTTGCATCAATAATACTTAAAGTACTCTTGTGTTCTCAATATGTAGTTGTTCTAACTGAAAATTACATCACTGTTTAAAGGGCAATTAAAATATCAATATCCCTATGTTTTTCTCAGTCCATGTAGAGTAGAAAGTAAAAAAATTAAAGAATGTTAACTCTAATTTTGAAAAAGGTGATTACAGATCTTTATATTACTTTGCATCAGGAGTGAGGAACCTTTTCTAGGTCGGAGGCTGCTAATCCATCGAAAAATCATTTGTGAGACACGCACAGATTTGGGGGGGGGGACCCTCACTGACATGGCTCTTGACTGAGAAGAAGAAAGACACTCCCTACATTCCTTTCACACACCAAAGGCTTGGGGGACCCAGGCTAATAGATTCTGTATGCTCCTCCCTGTGGGCAGGCAGCGGGGGTGGGGGCCTGGAGTGCCAGCTTGGTCTCCCCAATGCTGGGAGGGGAAGCCCTGAGCCTTGGGGGCCAGATCTAGGTAAGCCAGGGGTCACCCCAGGCCTGAGGTTCCCCAACCCTGCTTTGCATCAGTAATTTTTATTCACTTCAGGTAGGACTTTTACAGAGATTAATTCTCACAGGAATTTAAGTTGTACTTCTCATAAAATTACCTCTAAAACATGAAATAATTTCCTTGTTCTGTACCTATGGGTTTATATAACCATTGTTACCATCTTCTTTCCTTCACATTGTACGCGGCTCTGGATGTCTCAGAAAAATAACGAGTAGACCTTTAGCACCTTGGAGACTAACAAAAAATATATATAGTGGATGTCTCCGAGTGGGATGAATTGTGCTGTCTTCTCATTTATTGCCTTACTTCATCATTTTGTACCTTATAAAATGGTTCTTTGTAGTGGCCCTGTGGCTGTACCTCCCTTTCAGATTCCAAGAGAGGCCACACTGCCTCACTATCTTGAACAGTCAAACCACTGGGAATTAACACTTGCTGGCTGGGCAAGTGAAAATTGGCAGTCTACAGCCCAGGCCCATTTGGTGGAGCACAGTAACAAGCAGTCTTTAGCCTGTGCCTTCTAGCAATTCACAGTCTAGGGCTCCCAGCCTTCTGGCTGGTGCAAGCCCCAAACACAGCACAGTAGGGGCTCCCGGGCACTCCCCTCCATACACACTGTAGCAGGTCACAGGCCAGTGGCAGGGGGTCTCATCTCCCAGTAGGACAACTGGAGTAACGTTTGGTTTCCCTGTGCTACTTCCTACCAATGTCTCTTGGTAAGGCTCTGTTGCCTGAGAGTCCACAGGGTCCTTTGAGTAAACAGTCACCAACAGTCGGTGTCTTCCCAGGGCAGGGTGCTGCCTTCTCTGCTTCCAGCCCAATTGAGCTGGAAGACGTGCTTCTTGTAATTATCTCCCAGTAGGACAACTGGAGTAACGTTTGGTTTCCCTGTGCTACTTCCTACCAATGTCTCTTGGTAAGGCTCTGTTGCCTGAGAGTCCACAGGGTCCTTTGAGTAAACAGTCACCAACAGTCGGTGTCTTCCCAGGGCAGGGTGCTGCCTTCTCTGCTTCCAGCCCAATTGAGCTGGAAGACGTGCTTCTTGTAATTCCTGTCTTGCCCTTTACTTCTGGCATAGGGTGCAAAGCTGGCCTGGCTCCTCCCACCAAGAGGCAGTCCATTCCGCTTCACTACATTCTGCTTCACTCCATTCTCATATGGGTTTTTCCACTTTTAGAATTTCACAATAAACGTGTCCCCAGTTTCTAAAGACATTTCTTTGCTATCGCTTCTGCAGCATGGAAGTGCAGTACCCTGCGTTGCAGAAGCTTGACATGCTCCGAAACCTGTTGAAACAGATGGTGTGGGGTCTGCGTTATAACAATAAGTCTTCCTTGGGCTAACTGAGCTGTTTCAACTTTAGACAATTTAAATAGAAAAAAAATGTTCAAGGCAGGTATTGTTGACCTCGTTGCAATCTAAGGGTATGTCTACACTTGCTCCCTAGTTCGAACTAGGGATGCACGTGTAGCCGACCGAAATTGCTAATGACGTGGGGATTTAAATATCCCGCACTTCATTAGCATAATCTTGCCCAAGCGCTATTCAGCTTGCCAGCTAATTTGAACCAGGACGTGCGCTCTGGGACGTGTTAGTTCGAATCAAACCCCTTGGTTCGAACTAACGTTACTCCTCATTTTTTGAACCAAGGGGTTTGATTTGAACTAATGCATCCTGGAGCGCACTTCCTGGTTCGAATCAGCTAGTGAGTGGACTAGTGCACGGGCAAGACTATGCTAATGAAACGCGGGATATTTAAATCCCCGTTTCATTAGCAATTTCGGTAGGCTACATTTTCATCCCTAATTCGAACTAGGGAGCAAGTGTAGACGTACCCTAATGGATTACAATTGCTTGTTCATTGCTAGACTGTTCTCTTCATTGTGCTTAATAAACTTAGGCCTTGCACTAAATTAGCAAGCAGTATGAATTAAAATTGTTGTTTTGGTGCACGTGTGTGTGGACTCTCTTTTTATTATTTATTTTGGAATATTGTAAAACTAAAGTCAATTAAAATAACACTGCTCACAGAATTACACTGAAATATCTAAGTCAGGTGTAGGAAACCGATTTAGTTAAGTTGGGCAAGTTTGTGTGTCAACCAGGCCTTCATATGTAAGATGAAAGTCCCAGGAGTGATTTTAAACTGTTCCTTTGTGATTTTTCCATGCGTTTCTGGTGAGTTGTTTTATGTAATACCCTTTTCAGTGGTAGAACCATATATAGAACATAAGCATGTCTCATGAAATATTTAATGGTTTTCTTTTTTAGGTGCTTGGGTAAGTCGTGGGCTGGGAATGGTCAAGAATACAAATGACCATTTAGTATGGACGTATGTTGCTCCGCACTTGGGATACTGGATAGCAGCTCCAGTGCCTGGAACCAGAGGTATTGCATATTATTGAAATGCAAAAATCAATTAATTATACAAATAATATATATGCAGTTGTGTTTTCATGTTGAAAAATTAAAGAAAAAATTGGAATGCAGGTGGCTTCCAACCAGTGACAGTCATTAGGGGTGTTAGATTTAAAGAATTTTAGTAACCTGATTGTAGCTGCAGCAATTTTTAACGGTTGTGTGGTTACTAAAATAGCCCCCAGGGGCAGGGCCAGCAGCCAGTGCACTCCTGGGGAATCCTCTGACACACTGTGCTGCTTCCTTTTTAAGCAGAGTATCAGAGACAGCAGCGCAGGGTGGCAGCAGGCCCTGTCCATGGGACCCCTAAGCTCTCCACAGATAGAGGCTGCTCCAGCATCCCACCTGCTGCCTCTGTGGGAGGCAGCAAGGGGGGCGGGGCAGGTGGCTCTTCAGAACCAGCATACTTGGGGATGCAGCTTAAAAGCCAGTTCCCCATGTGTATTGGCTCCTGCCTGCTCTTCCCCACCCTTCGCAGCAGCTGCTTTTAAGTCCACTCTCCCAAACCCCAGCTCCTGCTTACCCCCCACACTGCTGCTTCTGTGGGCGGCAGCAGGGTAGTGGGGCAAGTGACTCCGTGGGAACCAGCATACATAGAGATTCATCTTAAAAGCCAGCTCCCCATGGGCACCGCCTCCCCCGCAATACAGAGGCAGCCGGGGGAAGGGGGGAGGATGGTATTGTGTGCAGTCATTTGGATTAACCAACAAACCTAGGCTTATCAGTTAATCATTTAAATGTCTATATACTAACATCCCTAATAGTCATTGTTAATCAGATGGAATTCTGAGGGTTCCTCTGCTTCTGTCTACAACATGTATGTGTGTACTCGTGTCCTTTCACTGCTAGTTTTACAGCTGACTTGGGGATTGCAGGGAACACAGCCCAGCATCACCCTGAAAGAGGAAATATTGGTTGTGGAATTCTTTCCAATAAAGGTGGGGAAAGTATTATTCTGGATCAACTGGTACCTCGGAACAGACTGTTCTCCTTCATCTTCCTCATGTTTAGACCTCTTGTCAGATACATTTTTGGTGGGAGAGGCAGGCAAATCCTGTTAGGTGTTGCATATATTATTGCCATCTTCTTGGCATACTCTAGAGAAGTATCAGCATAATGAACTGAAAAGCAGTTGGAGCCATTTGCCTGCTTTTCCCTCTACAACAGGGGAGTCCAACCCACTAAACGAAGAGAGCCGAAACAGCGGTGGAAAAAATGTGAAGAGCCACACCAGAGGGGTTTTTTTTTGAGCAATTTTTGTTGAGAGGGAAAAAAAGGAAGAGCTCCCTAGCAGCCCCCCAGAGTTGTTGAGTGGGAAAAAGAAAAGGACGCTGCCCCTTTAAAGAATGGCTGTCGGCCGCTGCCATCTTGGCGACACCATTTTGAATCGCCATACCAGACAGCTCCCGTGCCCCGGAGAGCACAGGGAGCCAAGGGATGGGGACCATTTCTGGGGGTGCAGGGGCGGCTTCACAAGCCGCACTTGAAGGGGGGGGGGGGAAGAGCCAACCCTGCTCCAGAATCATGTGAGAGAGGAAGATGGTATTAGATTGATAAGCCCCAGTGGTTATTGCTTTTGAAAGGGATTTGATAATGATTTCAGAATTTTAGAATTTAAATTGACTTGGTGTGACAGCAGCTCTGAACAACAGTCAGGAACTAGAATTTTGAAATAAATTTGGACATACAGCATTAACACCACTTGGCTAGAATTGAGCAAATGCAAAGGCAATATGCCAGTGTTTGTGACATCAGCCCCTGATGTGTGATTTGATATTGGTGTTGGTTCCCACATTTCCATATTGGCTAAAATGACCAATAGCAGCAGGATAGTGCAAGGGAGCAGAACTGGACTAGAAAACTCTAGTGCAATTTATCAAATGTAGTTTTGCACCAAAAACACAATTCTTAGTTCTTGCCATCTAATTTTTGTTTGGTTTTGTGTTTGAAAAATCTAGACTCTATTATTAGTGCGGTTTCCAAGGACATAACAGCCTATCACACAGTGTTCCTTACAGCCATTCTTGGAGGTACTGTAGTCATTATCGTTGGATTCGTCACTGTTCTTCTCTGTTACTGCAGGTGAGGAAAGAGAAAAGCTATAATATGCTTAGTATGAATGGAGTTTAAAATTAACTAATGGGGCTCATTTGAGACAAAATAATTGTTTTCTTAGTAATATCTAGGTAGCTCATATGTTCAATGTCTTTTTCAAACTTAACTAATTTATATATGTAGAGTATATTAATAAGCAGTGTAATCACATTAAATGATGTCAGTGGTTTTTTAACAGGTTTAAGTTTGTACTTCAAATTGTACATCATAACTTTAGTCTTTAAAGTCTTAAGTGAAAGCTTATGCTCAGTGCAAATACTGTGCTCATCACTAGTATTTTGAATCATATGTCCTACAATTCTCCCGCCCCCCCCCCTTTTTTTTTTGCATAGAGATAAATGTGGTCAATCACATAAGAGGGAAAAAAATACAACTAAACTGGAAGTCTTAAAAAAGGACCAGACAACATCAACAACCCACATAAATCACATCAGTGCTATGAAGGGGTCAATAAAGCTAGAGGATAAATCACAATTATACATGCCCAAGGTTTCCTCTTACAGCCCTCATAGAAAGACTTCTCTGGAAACAGAGGACAAAAAAGCCTGGGACAATTTTAAAATCTATACAGAAAATGTTTCGTATCAATCATCAAGTCAGAGTGGTCATTCAAGAAATTCAACCCAGTCCTTGGAGCCCAATGTTGGAGTCAGACAATTTCAGCAGCCAAAGCACTTTAACAGCAGTGTTTCCCAATCTCCCAGGGACATTCAGGATCAAAACAGGTATCTTGCGGTGAACAAAGAGATGTATGGGCTTTCCCATATCCCAGAACAACTAATGCATCTTTACGGTCAGCCTATTGCTGTCCTTCAAACCTCTGATCTTTTCCACTCTCCAGAGCAGTTACATTCTGCTAAGTCAGCTACTTTGCCAAGAAAAGGGCAGATAGTCTACAGCCCAATGATGGAGCCCATGAATCGAGACAGCTATACACAGACGCTACCAAAAATGCCAATGCACTCTCCTCTACAGCCCCCCACTTGCAGAGATGAGAAAGCCACATTAGATGGTCAACAGGGCTTATCCTCACAAACTTCAAACTGGGGTCGGTATACCAATAATTTGCTGGAATCTGTCTCTGTCCCTGGAACGCTGAATGAAGCAGTTATGACACCATTTTCATCTGAACTTCAAGGTATTTCTGAGCAAACATTATTGGAGCTTTCTAAAGGAAAACCATCTCCCCACCCCAGAGCATGGTTCGTGTCATTAGATGGAAAGCCAGTAGCTCAGGTGAGGCACTCTTTTATAGATTTGAAAAAGGGCAGAAAAACTGAAAGTAACGATACCAGCCTGGATTCTGGGGTGGACATGAATGAGCATCATCCCAGTCGAAAACTAGAGCGAGAGAAAACTTTCATTAAAAGCATGCATCATTCCAAGATTCTTTATTTGGAAGATTTGGATCTGAGTAGCAGCGAAAGTGGGACCACTGTTTGCAGCCCTGATGATCAGTCTGTGAGACACCTACTGGATGGAGGAAGTGGGCCGGACATAGAACAGCACACTGAAGAACCACAACGAAAAGAATCCACATCAAGAGGTCATGAGTGCAGTACTTCTCCAGCTAAAAAAAGAGGTAAACCACCTATGACTAAAAAAGGTAGTCAAACCAATATCTGGAAAAAGAGAGAGGAGAGACCACTTATCCCTATAAATTAAAACACAGTGTGTTTAGTGTTCTTGCTTTTTCTAGCATTTTG